TCGACTCGGGTGTCGACGGGATCATCTGGGAGACCCAGATATTCCGCCAGGTTTATCTTGGGTAGGTCCCTCGCTCCGAGTCGCGGGCAATCCATCAGGATATGTTGGATGGTTTCTTCCGTGGCCCCGCATAGGCGGCACGACGGGTCCGTGTCGAACAGTTCCCAATGCCGCTTCCGCGTGGGCAGTGACCCCGTCCTGGCTTGGAACAGGAGGGCGCTTTCCCGGTCGCCCCTGTAAAATGGCTCACGGTCTGGAGCCTGCTTGTATTCGAGGTATAACTGTAGGCTCCTTTTCTTTGCCGCCGACGTGCGCCACATCTCTGTGCTGGCTTCGGTTATAGTGTTTTTTGTTATTATACGCCATTCTCGTTCCGATTTTGCTTCTTCCAGTTTTGTGTTATGGCCGAATTTATTTTCCAGAGAAGCCAGTCGTTTCATCCACTGTGTTTTTATGCCCCTGTATCGGAGGTGTAGGTATATGCGCTGGCTGTAATTTGTTTCTGGTAGAAACTTTAGCCGGCCCGCATATTGTATTTTTGACCTTGCTTCGCGTGCTTCGAAAGTTGACCAGGCCAACTCCCCTGTTACTGCTGCGTTTGCTGTTGCAAAGCTGCCTCCCAGTAGCCAGCGAATCTCTCTCTGAGTGTAGCATCTGTAGATGGCGGCACCGGCAATGAACAAGTCGTGCGGGATAAGAATCCGCGATTTTCACCTGGCGATGTTGCAACCACTGCAATTCAAGTCACCTGTAACGCCGATTCATTGCGGTTGAAAAAAACGTCTCACAGAAACCAAAAGCACGAACTAAGAGCTTGACGTCACGTGGTCAGCGTTTCTCTAACACACTGAATGAGCGCTAAGAAAAGCACCGCACGATTGAAACTTCATAAACATATTAAAGAAAAAAAAAAGACTACCACATTGGTGACGCATGTAATGAGTCGCCATCAAATCACATGCTCCAAGGATGTAGTCGGATTTTCTTTTATTTCGGACGGGGTCCGATATCATTTTTCATATATTGTTGTGCGTGTGAGTAGACTTTACACATATAAAATGTAAAGCTTACAGCTCGAGGGGAGGTTAAACATCTCCTCTGGCTGTGCGCCAATCAATATATATATACTCATTACTCTAAAGAAAAACAAAGTCAGCTGACCTAGCGAGCTAAGTGTGTCCGACCTTAGTACGTGTATGTATTTTTTATCAAAGTGCTCTTAGTGTAGCAGGCCGAAATCACCCAAGCTCATACCGCTGACCCTTCGTCCCGCCACATTTTCTTTCTATAATTTCTATAGGTTTATACTAAAAACCTATATTTATATTATCTTTTTGCCTACCCGGCTTGGACCTGTGCAATGCTAGCAGTATTGACTAAAGAAGTTGCTGACGCAAAAAAAGAAAAAGATGGAGAGAGAGACAAAATGTTGCGAGTGCCATCGCAGCTTTAACCCTGTCCCCCGACGAAAAACTTCAAAAAGCAGTCATTGCATTGGCAGAAGAGATAGCAGCATACAAGCAGCAAGCTCTGAACCCCTGAAAAAAATATTAACAAGTGCCCTCCTCCTCCAGGTAGTAGTCCCGAGCCTCTCGCAAGTGACGTCACTTCTTGGTTGTCAACAGATTAAGTACAGTGATTCACGCAAATCTTGAGAATTCCGCATCTGGTTGTCCTACTTATTTGTTCAGAAAACTGTCGTGCCAACGTGACGGCGAGTGCGGTTTTGTACCAGCAAGTGCTCAGGGAGCTACTTCGCTGATGGAATGCGTATCCCGAGGCACAATAGCTTCTCTTCGATAAATACGTTCGTCGGCTTTTAACAGTACAAAGTCTAGCCCTCCCATCATCAAGGCGACTTTGTTGTAGAAAGGGTGGACAACGGAATTTATGTGTATGTCTGAGGTGGGGTCTTGCGTATTTGTCACAAACTAGCGCTCAAGAAAGCGCGCGCCTCTGAATTCTGGCGACTGCGACGATACCAGGTGCCAGATTGTCGCGCCAGGAGCCAGCGTAAAAGAAGAAAACAAGCATCAAAGTACTCCTCAGGTGCACTGCTTCCCCTCCTCAAAAGCGTCTCTGCGCCGAACAACCTCCTCGCATCTGTCGCCGAGCGATCTCTGGATAAATCTCGAAGGAAAGGGCCGCTTGGCGATGCAGAGTTGCGTCCCCGTACGAGAGAGTTCCTGCCCTTTCCACAGCTTTGACGGTGCGGCGTGCCGCGGAGACGACTAGAAACGTCTAGAACCTAGGTTGATATATAAGCAAGCAGCGGATGGTGGTGACGAGGAAATGAAAGAAGTTTTGAGCCAGCGTGCGTAGAGCCAGAGATGGGAGTTTTTCCGCCGTCGGGCGAAGGCTTACGTCTTCAGTGATAAATCAGATGACATGAAGTTTTCCACCTGCGGGTGAAGGCTTGCATTACAAGCCGGAGAAGAGTGTGTGTTTAGCGCCAGCGGGTGAAAACGCGTTCTGCAGTTTCAGCGCGTGAGTGGTCGACCTGTTACCGGCGAAGAAGTTTTCCTATTGGAGTGCGAACATTTGACGTGGCTAGGTTTCCTGGAAGAGAAACTTCGAGGGCAGAAAAACGAAAGCAGCGCTGAAATTAGAGTGAGTGGTTCCTGGAAGCAAATCATTAAAGCTTTGTTTCAAAAACTTTGGACTGAATAAGTTTGAATAAATTTTTTAGCCTTTAAGTGTCTTGATTAGTGCGTGAGATTGCATTGTAGCGCGTGTCGTTGTGTCCGTTGTTTTGATTACCGTATATCTTGCTGTGTTCAGTAGCCCGTTCTGTGATTGGTGACGTACTGTATTGGATTATTACCGAGCGTGCACATGTGTGCGTTGTTTTCTGCCGTATTTGAGAATATCATTTTTTGTTATCAAATCTCAGCTCTGACTCGTTCTTTGCACCACAGCTGGCGTTCGATGGCGCGCGAAATAGGACCAAATTTGAATTGCATGTGCTTTCGTGGTGTAGTTCGGGGGACCGATAGGTGAGCCATTGGAATTAGCCCGGTGATTGCCTCCCAAATTCACGGGAGCAGTAACACTATTCAAGAGATAAAATCAATGCATGCTCTACGTACCTTTGTCTTTCGTGCCGGTATACTTGGTTATTTTGATCATTACTGTTTTTTTGTTTGTCGACAGTGTCACACAGCCCACTCACAAGTGACTTACAAGTCTTTGATAGAAGATGAAAAAAAAAAACACGCTCTTTAGTGATATTATCACTGTAAGACCCCTAGTGAAGGTTTGTGACTCAAGAATAATTGAAACAGACAAACGTCAACATCGTCTATATTCTTGAACTGCTCGAAAACAAAATATAGTGCATCGTCACTGGTCAGTGCAAACTCCACAGCACTGGGGCGATGTCATTAGTCCGTGTGACGCTCGCTGCACAACACCTGGTGCTGAAACCTCCTACGTGGCAATACCCAGGCGCCCTTGAAGTTTGACACGCATGCATGTAGTACATGTGCGTGGAGGGCAACAGAGGTGCTTGCTTGTGACACGTATGAAGCGGCCTCGGTCTAAAGGGCCCCGACACCACCCACAGATTCAAATTTAATCGTGGTGTTTCAGTTGTGCAAAAGTCTTCAACAAACCCGTAGCCGCGATAATTTTTTTTTTTTGAATCGGTGCCGTAATAGCGGAGTTACGTTGGATGACAGAAAAACGGGACTCCCCCGTTTCCTTTCTCGCTAAGCTCCGTTCATTGGCTGGTCTACCCTTCTGCGCTTCTCTTCGCAAAGCCGGATGGGAGCGCTTACCTAGAAGCGGACAAACCGCTGTTTTTGTGGATAACGTGACGCAGACGCGAATGGTGAGGTCACGGTCAATGCTGGGGATTACCGAAAGCCCTGGAGAAGACAGGATACTGTTACCTGAAATTCGTAGTGCGCCAGTGGCTCATACCGTTTGACATTGTTCCCCGAGACTACATTCTGAACGGGATGCGCACGTTTACTTGAAATGTAAAAAAGTTATCGAAGGTGTTTATGGGTCCCTAACAAGTCAGGAAGTTTTCACCGAGACCAAATCGTCACACCGCGGCTCCTGGATCATATTGTTTTCTGTACAACATGCACGAACAGGTGCACTAGTACTGGCGAGGTGAATTTACACTACGCAACGCAAAACCATATACAGTGTTATATGAGCGGTTGAGCAAAAACTTTTAACCACGGAGACACGTGAAATGTATCGCTTTCTGAAGTATCGTGGTTGGTACCGTTTCGATACCGCGAGCAGCCCCAAACCACTTCGGTACTTTGACAAAGGGAAGTCAGAAAAGAAACAAAGGAAAAAAAATCAGAACAAGGCGAAGACAAAAGGTTGCAATAGCTGCTTTTTGTCATCCACCATTCACCACTATATAGTATGTCCTCACCTCATGATCAAGGAGGGTATCACCCTGACGAAGTGCTAAAAAAAGGTAATGATAATAATGATTGTTGGGGCCAAAACGTGCCAAAACTACCCTATGATTATGGGAGACGCCGTAGAGAAAGGCTCCGGAAATGTTGACAACCTGCGAAATCTAAGCACACGGGCCTCAAACATTATCGCCTCTACCGATAAAAAAGATAACCAACAATATAGTTAAATTACTGTGTCATAACCTTCGAGTCTCCACACGCAGCATCACGTTAAGGCGTCACAAGTAAGGTTGCAAACATGCTCACTATTTTGTCCGATATTCTCTAAGATGCAACAAAAGCACTAAAACGGAATGCCAGCTCCCACGGCAAAGCTGAACGCTTATATGAAAAATCAACGAAAAGGAGATACCGAACCTGGAGCGCGACTGTCGCGCAGTCAGTGCAGATATTTTACATTCTTGCACGAGCAGTTCCTTGAGGTGACTGACCACTTGCTCGCTATAGGCGGCACAGCTCCGACAAGCACCGTTGTGCCGATGGTTGATTCGGCGGACTCCGACAGCGCACTTTGCGTGTGTACGCGGGGAAAAGAAATTACGTCGCAGGCTGTCAGAGATACCAATCCGGGAGGCACGAAGTTTCGAAGACGAGGTGCTGCAACCAGGCTCCGCTAGCAAGCAGTAGCAGCGGTGCCACTGCGGTCATGTGTGCGGCGAGTATTCTGTGCGTTGCAGCGCCGCTGGTCTGCTGACGGCCCGAGAGCGGAGGAGCGTCGGGCCTCGTGTGAGGCACGAAGTGCTCGGGTAGGCAGCGCGGCAGAGTGTCCAGCGCCACCTGGGCCGCCGACGCGTTGAGCAAGTGCGCGGGCGACGAGCAGAACCCACGCCTGCGCAGGGACTCGGGAGCCCAGCGGAGCCGGCAGTCGCAGGGAAGCCAGTTGCCCGAAAGCAGCACGTGACTCACGGACGCCTGCGAGGGGGGACAAAAGAGACGTCGAACAATCCGATCAGTGGTGTTGCGACTTGGAATGTAGGGAAAAATAGAGAGAGATCCGCGTACGAAGAGCGTAGGTTGAAGGTCACAGCGATGTCGTCGGTTCTCAAAAGACCTCGAGTTGCTTTATTCGCTGGCACAGTGCAGTATGCAGTAAGGTATATAGAGGTCGGCGAGTTGTAAACCACTCATATTCCGTCATGTTTGCGCTGATTTTTGAAAGTACGCAATATATAGCGTCACTAGCAGAAGTTCATAAATCTCACAGTGGTGTTTCCACCTACATTTCCTTCCCGCGCGTTTTCTCCCTTACCAAGCGTCATGTCGCGGTAACAGTGGTGTTTTCGGCATTGTGAAATTGTACTTTACTAATACGCGAAAAATCGTTTTGCTCTTTAGTGTCCCGTCAAGGCATATCCCGTGCGGATGCTAGAAAACTAGCATGCTCTTTCGCTGACATCATTTCCGTCACGGACATAACGTAGGCAAGTCCTTGGGGGAGCCCGGCATGGAACACTTCCATGTTAATTTCCATCGCTGATGGAAATAAAAATTATTATTATTATTATTATTATTATTAAAGGATGTTTCGCGCAATTCAGACATTAAACCACCGAATAGAATGCGTCGTTTTTCTGCTGGTCATGCACGTAAGACGATCGTTGAACGCACGAGTTAAAGAATGTGTTTCGCGCAATTCAGACATTAAACCGCCGAATAGAATGCGTCGTTTTTCTACTGGTCATACACGTAAGACGATCGTTGAACGCACGAGACCGTCGACCACAAACCTGGTCCAGCGCGTCGAGGGCTCCGGGAAGCACGCTCCCGAGTCGGTTGCCGCCGATCCTGAGCTGGCCTACAGCTCGCATGCCGGCGAACGCGGCCGCGCGCACCGCCTCCACGGTGGAGCCCTCTAGCGTGACCCGGCGAACGTGGCTGAGGCCGGCGAAGGCGCCAGAGTCTATGAGGCCGATCTCGGCGTCCCGGATGAGCAGCTCGCCCGCGTGCTCGAGACCGCGAAAGGCGAACTGAGGAAGACGCTTCAGGCGAGGGGCCTCGATGGACACCAGGCTCACGTTCCGGAGACCCGCGAAGGCGTCAGGCTGAGGACAGACACGTCAGAGCTTAGGAGGCTTGATGAAGTTCAAGAAGAAAACGAGAAGGGCGGTGATAAGCCTGCTATCATACACCGCACAACAGTCCATGCTTAAAAATTAGTCTGTGTATGCACTATAGGTTTGCTTCACATTACACCTTTCCTCTTTCTTTAAATCGTGCTGAGCGATAGTCGGGACACCCTGTGTACACGCCGGCAGAGATTTTATGCATTAACAAAGAACTTTCTTTATATATTTGCCCGACTGAGATATTGCTCCTGTTCGATTAAAGATGCATTCATAGCTTGGTTGAATTCTGAAGGGAATGTGGGTATTGTAGTACAGACATACTACCTCCATGGCGGCGAGACTCCGAGGTAGTCTAATGGAGCCGATCCGGCTGAGGTTGGCGAATGCCCGCGATCGCAGCAGTTCGAGCGGGTTGCCCTCGAGTGAGATGCTGCTCAGGTCGCTGCTTCCGGCGAAGGCGAACGGCTCGACGCGGGCGATGCGGTTGAAGCCGAGCTGAAGCATTCGCACCCGGCTCAGGCCGGACAGAGACTGCGCCACATGAATGTCGACGACGAGAGTCAGGCCTCGTGCACAGTTTTATCAATTATGGAAGCACTGACACATGTTGAAGACTTGGCTAAAAAAAGACAGTTTTCGGTGTTTTGTAATGCATCACTAAAGCTCTTCCGAAGCCAGAAGACGTGTAAAACATATTTTAGTTTTAAATATTTTAGTCACCCAGCATCTGCAAGTCAGCACCACTGCATTGTACATTATCATGACTACTTAACGAAATTCGCTACGCTTGCGAACTCTGCGTCCTGCTTGCCATCTGAATCGCAGAAATCGCGTTTGGAGATAATGGATGACAATTCACACATCGTTGTTTACGTGCACCACGTGCGTCTGACATCAGATGACAGAGCTGCTACAAGTACTTCGCTAGTTCCTGACTCCTCGTGACGTCAGACTACGTTTATACGTCAACACGAGATCACCCACTCGCTATCGAAACCGAGAGCGGTTTTTCAAAAATAGCAGAATGCACATTAATTAACCAGAAGTAGCTTTCAGAAATAGCGGAATAAAAAAGAAATTACAGCATATCCACGAAGTGCATGATGATGAGTGGAGCGAAGCGTCCGTCCGTCCATGCGTCTGTCCGTGCACCCGTCCATGCGTCCGTCCGTCTTAGGTCCATGCATACGTCCGTCCGTGCATCTGCCTGTCGATCTGTCCATCCGTCCGTCCGTCCATCTGGTGAACACTACAAGTACCACGATCTAGCATCTTTTTATCATATATTCAGCATATAGAAGTACCGCCATCCAGCGGACTTTCCAAGGACTAAACGAGAGGTGGCACTCACGCACTTTCTTAAGGCCTGTGCTTCGTGTCTACTTCCCACCTTTCACCGCCTCTAGTTCATGGCTATACACTAGTTCACTATATTCATCATGGCACTGTGGCCCGACCCTCGCTATACCTTGCTAAAACTAAAGAGGTTACGCCCAGCGAGTTTAACGTGGCAACCCTTTCTGGTCAGATAGTGCTGAAAATGCGTCTTTCTGTACTAGTTTTTTTTTTTTAGTAAGCAGTAAATTCAAGGCAAATGCTATTGGACATTAAGTCACCAATACTTGTCTCTGTATGTTACTTCATCAGAAACAACAATCTTTTTACTTATGATTAACGTGCACCTGTTTCCTCCTCAATTGAAAAGCGTGCGCGCGTGCTGCTTGCTCCTCCTCCTAATCCTACTCCTCCCCCACTCCTACTCCTCCCCCTACTACTACTGCTACTACTACTACTACTACTACTTTGCTTGCTGCTTGCTCCTCCTCCTAATCCTATTCCTCCCCCACTCCTACTCCTCCCCCACTCCTACTCCTCCCCCACTCCTACTCCTCCCCCTACTACTACTGCTACTACTACTACTACTACTACTACTTTGCTTGCTGCTTGCTCCTCCTCCTAATCCTACTCCTCCCCCACTCCTACTCCTCCCCCACTCCTACTCCTCCCCCTACTACTACTGCTACTACTACTACTACTACTACTACTACTACTACTACTACTACTTTGCTTGCTGCTTGCTCCTCCTCCTAATCCTACTCCTCCCCCACTCCTACTCCTCCCCCTACTACTACTGCTACTACTACTACTACTACTACTTTGCTTGCTGCTTGCTCCTCCTCCTAATCCTACTCCTCCCCCACTTCTACTCCTCCCCCACTCCTACTCCTCCCCCTACTACTACTGCTACTACTACTACTACTACTACTACTTTGCTTGCTGCTTGCTCCTCCTCCTAATCCTACTCCTCCCCCACTCCTACTCCTCCCCCTACTATTACTGCTACTACTACTACTACTACTACTACTACTACTACTATTACTACTTTGCTTGCTGCTTGCTCCTCCTCCTAATCCTACTCCTCCCCCACTCCTACTCCTCCCCCTACTACTACTGCTACTACTACTACTACTACTACTTTGCTTGCTGCTTGCTCCTCCTGCTAATCCTACTCCTCCCCCACTTCTACTCCTCCCCCTACTACCACTACTACTACTACTACTACTACTACTACTACTACTACTGCTGCTGCTGCTACTACTACTACTACTCTGCTTGCTGCTTGCTCCTCCTCCTAATCCTACTCCTCCCCCACTTATACTCCTCCCCCTACTACTACTACTACTACTACTACTACTACTACTACTACTACTACTACTACTACTACTACTACTACTACTACTACTACCACCACTACTATACATCGCGGACGCATGACCCACGGCATAGGGTGCTTCGGTCCCCCCAAAAATTCAATGCGTCCCGAAGCACCACGATACACTTTTTAGGATTCCCGGCTCATGTTCTTATTTATAGCCATAATACAATTTTAAGGTTTGCGTAAGTAGACTTTGAAGACAAGAGTGAATGATTCCACATCCCGTGTGGTCAGACGCCAGCCTGTACAGCCTCACACGATGGTTCGATGTAATAAAGGCTCCAATCGATCGATCAATCAATCAATCAATCAATCGAAATTTGCGTGCTCTGGCAGAAATGGCATAGATGTAGCGAAACTGTCATGCCGTAGAGAAAACATTCAGCCTAATATGCTATCGAGGGAACAACTTGGCACATTTTCACACCTCGGAGGCACAAATAACATGCATGAGGCTTCATTACGAACCAGTGCATGTCATGTGTATGAGTGTAACTTGTTATCACGCGGAAAACATTAAAACCCGACCGAGTAACATGCATTCGCATATCACGACTGGAAGGCGAGAGCTTTCTGTATGTCATGCACGTGGAGTTTGGCGAGGCAAAGACAAAAAAAAAAGCGCTTTTATGCCACTTTGGAATACTGATGGAATACTGATTGAATAATTCGAATCTTATTAGCACGCGCGCTTCTCTGCGTGTCTGACAAGGACTATGGTGCACCGCTGGACATCATGCAACGTTGGTACTGGAAGCCACTCTGTCAGTGAAACATTGAGAGCGCTCAACCACGACAAAACAGACGCATCCTTTCACTATCCTTCACTTGAAATTTCGCTTTAACTTGCTCTAGTGCTGAAAAGACAACAGTCAGCAAAACTTACACAATAAAAAACAATAAAATAAACAGAAATGAAAGGTTAGAAGTATGTTCGCCGTGGTGACTGCGCTTGGTCACGTGTGACGCATGCGGTCACGTGCCAGTGGAGGCGCGTTATCGACATCGGAAAGACCGTTTACTGCTCTGCTGTGCACTGCTGGGCCGACCTGGTGGCGATGCACTATAGAGACAAACGTTTCGTGAGTGGCGGCCTACACTGCAAAGTTTGGTTTCGTTAGGTTTCAGCACGTGAAGCCCCTCAAAGACCGAAGAAGCTGCGTACCGGCCAGACTTTTCCAAAGAAAGAAAGAGAGAAAGGTAAAGAAAAAGTGGAGGCCTTCAGTTGCTATTCTGTGCTTGAGAAGGGGAAAGGAGGTTAACCGTTACAGCACGCCACGCAATGTTGCTGTACAAGCCAACAGAAAAAGGATACTTGCTCTACGGGTCACCGATGTTCTCTCGCAACACTGCACTGAATGCATGTCAATTCATTGTATATATCGACATTACCTGTACATAACCCCATGTAAATGCGTCTTCTTTATCGAAACTAATATAGAAAAAAAAGTGAGCTATAAAGATGCCGGCGGTACATTTACCGCAAAAGAAATAATCACGAAATAATGGGTTCGAATAATATATTATTTTTTGACAATTATTGCAGCAATATATATGTGCAGGTTATAGACGCTGCAGTAACACACAGAGAGAAGTCGAGGGCAGGCAGCTGATGAAAAATACGTTCTGGTACGGGAATCAGACCCGGTGCCAAAGCGTTCCCAAGCCGCTCGCTCTTCCACGTGAGTGAACCAGGATGCTAGAAGTTTATCAGCGAAAGAGAGAATCGGTCGACAGCTCGACGAACAAACAGGACACTGAATACATCACATCATTTATGCGGAAGTCCACAAGGTTCATTAAGGAGAACACAATTTGTTCGCGGCACGACGCCAGGGTACGAAATCTATACCGATACATACGAAGCGATCCATGTGGATCCTTTGAAGTTTCGTGTTACAAATGGTTGATGACAATTTTAATGCTAGAGTATTCGAATTCACAACGAACGAATAGACTTTTTAGGGGCAAAGCTCCTAAAGGTGTGGGTCTGTCACTCCCTTGTATGTACGTACGTAACCGCCTATTGTTCCATCTTTGCCAACTGCCCGCTACTTCGTCCTTGCAAACATCTCACTACGCACTCCACCGACCATAAAGCAAATACCGTTGAGAAGTAACCAATCTGAAATGCTAGATGGTCGTGTGCTTGTACCCAGGTGCGCGTTAAAGAACCACACATTTTCCCACTTTGTCCATCCCTTGTTCGTACGCGACCGCGTATAGTTCCATCTTTCCCAACTGCCCACTACTTCGTCCTTGCAAACATCCCACTACGACCCATCACCGACCCATCACTTCATCGACAATAAAGCCGTTATATTGAAGGGGGAACGAAAGCGCTACCACTTACGAATAATCTAATTTCTTGTGTAAATATATACATCGTTTGTCATGTCGTTGATGATGTAGTGGACAATATTCGCGGATGCTTCACGGTTTAGCGATTAAACCCTGCAGCGCTTCGCCCCACTCATCATCATTGACTCCGTGGATATGCTATTTTTTTCACCACAGGTACCCGTTTAAATAGCTTTACCACAGTGTACAATCACTATGCCGTGAAGCCACCTATCCGGAGAAAATTCGCTATGACGCGAGGTCACGCGCCTGTGGGAACGGGTTACGTGTACATGTCACCTGATTGAGATTATTTCAGTTTAAAAGCATGTCTTGCCGGTTTAGTACTGCAACCTAAACCTTGCTTCTATTCAGATCCTGCAATATGTGAATCAGAACAGAGATGCAGTACTCACACTAGCCAAGTTCAAAGTATATATATAAATGCTGGTACGTTGATTGGGTGAGGATAAAACTGTTCGTTTTTTTTTTTCATAATATATGGTATATAGTATTCAAACTAGCCGATTCGAAATTATTTGAGAACTCACCAGTTTTCTTCGAATTCTCTGTGAACCGGTATAGTAATAATTATTGTTGGGGTTTTACGTCGTAAAACCAGGATACGAGTATTAAAACCACCGTAATAGAGGGCTCCAAATATTTTGACCACATGAGGTTTTTGATGTGTACTCCACTAAGCCTAAGGAAACGGGGCCATAGCATTTCGCCTCTACCTAAATGCGGCCGCCGCGTCCAAAATTAGGCGCATGACCCTCTGACCAGCGCTTCAACCACTAAGTCATCGTGGCGGGTACTGCGAACTTCCAATTTACTATTAGCTCATCCAGCACCTCCTCTATGTTAAAAAAAGAATATATAAAGGAGGCGTTGGCCCACCCCTACAATTTATCGTTTCATTTTTTTAGAACGTCATTGTATAGGTAAAATAAAAAATTGACCCCGTATCTGCATGTAATCTGCCAATGTCGTCGAAAGACGATAGTCTTGCGTGTGGAGAGAGTGAACAAAACATTTATTTAATGATCTGCGCAAGAAAATCGGTGAAGGGTATTCCGGAGCCGCAGAGTGCCTCGAGCGTGCAGCGGAGGCTCACGAGCGCATCAAGTCATGTCACACGTGAGCCATGAGCGCCATCTGGCAGTTTCTTTTGGAAAACAAAGCGCATGGCCGTGCGCGCCCGTCTCAGAGGTGATAAGGTGTAAAACGCGAGGCGACGGGTAGGTGCCACCACCATCTCGTCTTAGCAAAGCGTTGGAAACACTTCCCGTTCCGTGCAAGCGTTGCATGGTAAGAGCAGCGTGATAAGCGCTACGGTACTTAAAATTGCTTATGTATGCGTTTTCTAGTAAGAGATACATATGCAGAATATATGCGTGTCGTTATGGTGCCCCAGACATGCGCAACAATTGCTTTTTAATTGACAATTGCACAAGCATGAACGCTCAACCTTGAGCAACATTGGTGGTCGCTCCGGATGGGGTCGGCCGTTTCAAGTACCCGATGCGGGTAAGAGTGGACAAACAGACAAATGTACAGACGAACAGACAAAACGAAATTTTTGCGTCGAAGGTCCCCAAGAAAGACTATAACTCTCAAAAAAAAAAAAAAAACGTTTGGTGTGGGTGTGTACCTGTTGCGAGAGCACAGTGAGCGGGTTGTTCTGCAGGCTGAGCTCGTCGAGTCCGCTGAGCCCTCGGAAAGTGAACGGCGCCAGCGCCTGGATGCGGTTGTTGTCCAGGATAAGCTTGCGCAGCCGCACCAGGCCGAGGAAGCTGTCCGTCGCGAGGCGCTCGAGCTGGTTGCTGGTCAGCAGCAGCGCCACGGCCGCGCGGGGCACGGGCGAAGGCAGCTCCCGGTAGCCGGCCTCTTGGCACAGCACCTGGGCAATCAGCGCGCTGAACGGTTGTTCCCATCCCGTGCCATTTATGTGCGAACAGAAAGACGATTCGAGCTGACACGCCTGAAATATGCCTGTAGGGCTCGCGTCGCATGACGTGCTATATGGTTCGGTTGGGACATATGAAGCGCTGGGATTGCATCAGGTCGATTCCTCTTCGTGGTGCTTTGTCACAGCTATCGTTAAGCCTTTCATTTCAGTGGATGTAACCAGACAGGATAAAAACTTCCCTGCGATATTCAATAACAATTTGTGAGACGATCGTCATCATCATAACCACCATCTTTGTTAGCGTACTAAAATATGAAGCCCTCCCTCAATCATTTACAATAATGACAACACACTCAACACAATGACAACATGTCTTCGTCGCAAATCCTACTCTCCTTAAGGCTGTGTCCTGCGCTAAAATACTGAAATAGAAATTGGTTATCCCTTATGGTTGCAAATATCCTAATTTCATTACTCCATCTCGCTTCCCGCCATCCTAGGCTGCATATCCTATTCCTTGGTACCCGTACCGTAACTTAAACCTACCACCATAGAGTTAATGGACTTATCTGTGCTATGGATCGCGTAGCCTTGTAAGCTCCATTCTTGCTCTATTTACGATCAACTACAACAACGGCTACACTTAGCCAGTGCTAGGATGCTTTATCTTTGTTCCATCCCGATTGATTTTGTGGTTACGTGTGGTGATGGCTGGAATCACGCTATTCCGCAGTTTTCAGACAGGCGACTTCTGTGAGTAAACTGCAGTTAAAGGTTCGACGCTTTTCGTTTGTGTTGGGTTCGCAGTCTTCATTCCTCACACTGTCTTTGCAGCGAATGCTCACAACTGACTGTGCGTCGTGTTTTACCAACACTTGGAGCATACCTGAAGTTCGAGGCAGTTGCAGCGCTGGGGACAAGCTACAGCTGACCACAGGCGAGAGACAACAAACAGCAACAGCGACGTCCATGACTTCACCCGACAGCGCCTCAGCATGACGGTGAAACCGCCACGGCTACAACGGGCAGCTCTGCATTAACAAAGTGTGTGGATGTTGTCCGCAAACCATGGAAGGCTTTTTGGTCGAATGTAAAAGTGTTCATACAATAACCAAGAAATCAGTAAGTCAGCCCAACATATTAGACTTCAAGGACAGTTCTAGAAACGTGATTGAGCATGCAGGAAACACCAGCAAGAGAAAGCTAGAACATTGGTGGCGGAAAACTATATAAGACGGGAAGAAGAAACTGAGAAGAAGTAACACCAAATTAACGTATTGTTAGAACAATATAGACAATATATACATTACTAGGAAGATTTTGAATACACTAGCGGTCACCCCGATTCAAAGGGGCAGCAGACCAGGCTTTTTAATTGATCTACGTGCGCACACACAGCACCCGCCTCTCCCCAAAAAGACAAGTTTGTACGCTGTTCAAATTTATTTTTCTCCTCCAGTACACAACACTTCACGCTATTATATATATATATATATATATATATATATATATAGGCCAGACTCTAGGCCAAAACGTCGAAATAAACTACGTTGTGACCGTTCACGGACGATCTACTTGACTACTTGCAACGCTACGGCCACTTAACCGACATGGCTATATATATATATATATATATATATATATATATATATATATATATATATATATATATATATATATATATATATATCCTGAATTATTATGAAAGAGCTCTTTTATCGCCTGGTCAGCGACTCCTGCTTGCCGTTCCTGGTCTACCAGGGAGCGATGCTCTTCCAGGTTTCAGGCTGACCAGCGAAATGTACAAGCATTATTCAGATTTTTTTGCCTCTTTCTGGTTTTTTTGTGGCTTCGGCTTGGCTGTCGGAGACTGAATCAAGCAGTCACTTTATCAACACGTGACCGAACAAGAAGGAAACAGAAGAAGTAATCACGCAATACATAACAACCTTCATAGCAGGACTCTCTGACAATTATCTCAGAATCAAGTTCCTCGGCAGTTACCATGTAAAAAAAACGGATTTAAATTTTTGATGTTAATAAAGACCTGCACGGACTTGTTTCAAGTTATCTAGAACAAGCGGTGGACTTCGATGTGATGGAGCCGACAATCATAACGGACGAGAAGCGTGGGGCTTTATACGGAAATGCGCATCTTCACTCATACACACAAAAAAACGAAGAACCTACATCCAGCATCCAGAGTACGTAGACACGCCAGCTAAGCAACCATCACCGAGAAAAGGAAAGACCGATCCACTCGGCAAGAACGTCAGTTCGTATGAAAACCAAACATCGCCACCGAGGGCGATGGTGATGGCCGGAACGAGGACGTATCAAAGCACTTTAGACAAAAAGAAAATAAAAAAGGCGAGTAGGAAAGGGTCGATGGTCCGAGAGTGTTGTACAGTCGTGCCCCGAACCACCGCGCGGATGAGGCCACTATAGAAGACCGGCACATGTGCTTGGCTGGCTGGCAACGGGCGCACGCCTCAAGACGCGATCGGCATGTGAACTGCCTGCTGGCACAAAACCGCCGCGAGGGGGCGGCCACGCGAAGGCCTCCAGTGCGCCAGGTTTCGACGCTGGACCGTCCATAAGGGCCTCTCTCCTTGCCGCGGCAGTCGTCACGTCCGCACAATGCGGCGCGTTCGCAGCGGTTCACCAGCCGACCACCGCATTGCTTCTTTGCCCAGTTTGTTCGAACGAGCGGACGTGATTCGGGCGCTCTCGCCACATACAGCGCTCGATCCAGAGACACACGCCGCTAAGCCTACAATGAAACCTCCGCTCACTCTACGGATAGGCCGATGGCACACATGTATACGTTTATGCTTCACCCTCCATACGGCAGTGTGCTGCGCCGGAACTTTCCTACCTTTTCTGGAAGGAGTGAAAGAATAACATGAATCTTTTAGAAACAAAAGCTAAAAAAAGGCGTCAATGAGAGAAAGAGAAACCACATCAAATTGCCATTGTAGTTATAGCATTAACCTCCGATACAGGCACGTGAATACCGTGGGTGACGGCATTACCAGCTCCCTTCATGCGATAGTCGAAATCATGTTGCGATATATACGCTTTAACATTTTCCCTTTAAAGACGATAGTCTAGCGTGAGATACTTCGACAAAGAACTTTTAGACTGTCTGTCTCTATCTGTCTATGTGCCTGTATTTCGGTTATCTGCCTGTCCATCGATTCAGCTATCAGAGCGAAAGTTTAACCATTTGCTGAACGACCACCCATCTTTATTTCCTTTCTGCATTCATACTAGTGAACACTGGCAATCAAAAAAAAAAAAACTAATGGTACCCATATTTGGGCGCTACATCAATACGTCAGCGTTATGTGTTAATTTATTTCTAAAATGCGTTGATACGTAATTCTAAAGACTGCGGAGCTTACTACGCGGTGCTGGAAACGCGACGCTATGAACAAAAAAGCGGGCGTTTTCTACGTTTCACTAAAACAACATGGTTCTACCACGTATACCAGTGGCTTTGCATTCTAGAAAAAAACTTCGTTTCTTCAAATTACCAATAGATGGCGTTCATATCTCACACGGCGTCTGCTCACCAATTTTCTCGCGCGGAACGTCAAACAAACGTTTCATTTTTTTTCTCTCCAAGCAAAAGACTATCGTCTTTCGACGACCTTTGCCAGGGAAGTACGCAGATACGCCGCCAATCATTATTTTTTTTTCAGACTCCAGTATGCATGCTTGGGTCTGCTATAGTTTACGCCGTTTGATGGCAGAGCTTGTTTTCATGTATGAAAAACTGGCCCACTTGATGTTGATTGTGTCACAGAAAATCACTCGCGCACATTAGGTCGTGATGGTGCTCCAATCAAACGCAATATTCAAGGCGGATTACCAAAGTACCGTACGTTAGATAAATCGGTTGGACGATATATGTACGGGGCGTTGTTTAGTTTCTCACTAGTGAATTTCGAGATCAACTCTATTACAGATATCCGTCGAGACAATCTCAATATATGCATAGCGAGCTGCCCAGATTTTTCTGCGAGTGAAATTTACATACGCAACTTTCTGCAACGCCGCACAGAACGTTTTACAGAGGTGGGACAGAGATACACAGCACGATCGGCTAGCGGTGTCAAATTTGAGAGAGGCAATAGCGACCCCCCCCCTCTCTTCCTCAAGCTTGTTTGTCCTCGAATTTACGGTTAGGGGGAGAGGGAAGACAGGGGCTTTCAACAGCACCGACAACCGGTAGTACTTAGATATGAAAATGCCTTCTGTCAACGGGAACCTTGCTTGAACGAAGTTTCAAAATTTAGTAATAATAATGAACGCGTTACATGCTTCCTTCGATGCAGCTGGCTCATGTTCCAAACTCTCCCAATTCCCTTCTTTCCCAACACGGGAAAGCTCCACTGCTGCGATCGGCCCTACATCCTGTTGTGCTAACCAACCACGCCACCCATAACGTCCGAGTTGGGAGCCCGTGCCCGGACGTTCTCGAGCCTGAAAAAGAAGCCCAATCCACTTGCTTTCGCATGCTGCAGGTTTCCGCGGACGTCACTGAAATATAAGGGCAGACAAAAAACTGCGCACGTCTTTCCTTAAACGAGCGCTCGCTTTGTAAAGGGAGTCACGCGCCTCATACTTCTTGCAAGGAGCTCAATGCTCGATAAAACTTGAAATTAGGGAAATGAAGAAGGCACCCCCCCCCCCCCTGCCAATTGCTGCTTGCTTGTTAAAGAGCAAGGCTAGTGGTCGCAGTCTTAGACACCGGAACCATTATTTATATTCAGCGGTGTGTATCGCATTAATTTTAGTTCCGAAATTCAATATACGCTCTTTCATAGTCTGCGCTCGTTTGTATCAATATTCTTGTTGTTCTGACAATACGAGGTATGTCAGATATTTCTTGATATATAACGAAATTATGTCTCTGCGGCAACCTTGTCATCTTACGGTACGCTCTTTCGGCGGCACAAGTCTATCATGCTCTCTGAAAGACTAGGTGTTATCCTGGAAGCGTAATGCTTCTATTTTGTCCCAGGCCGGTGGTATTTTTAATTCGCGAAAATTGAGCCTTAATACAGATGTCATCGTGTATTTATGCTAAGTGACGGAGTTTGTGAAAGCATATATTCTTTCCCTTATTATACTCTTTGAAATTGTAAAGCGTATGCCATATAGCTAACGCAGTTTCTTTGCGACCATGACACTTGTGTACAGTGAAAACAAGGTACACTCTCTCACGTCATCTGTTGATACGCACGGTACATAGCTTTCTGAACCCTTCTACGTTATGTAACTAGATTCTTACAAAAGCAATACGCAAACAGCCGCCACCCATTTCGATTACAGCCAATGGGAGCAACAATTCAATGAAACTAGAATAAAAAAAAACGAAGCGATTGCGTAACTTCCAGCAGCGGCCTGCTTTTGGTCGTCAAATTTCGGGAAGACATTGGGAAGTAAACAGCTCCTGGAATACAACAACACCGGTTCTCGGCCGCCATATAAGAACGCTTGAGCTTGGCCTTCAAGAGTAGAAGGCAATAGCGTAATCAAGCACCGTGCGCATGCAGCGCCTTCTCAATTGCTGACCTGGATTCTGTTCCTGGTAGATGCGTCAACCACGCTGCAACAAAACGAATGTTTGTGCGTGCAATATTGGTCGTTTCAAACGATCCTAGAATGCCTACTGCAAGTAAAGTTGCGTAGTTCACGCAACGCCATCATTACGCCTTTTGAGAATCGTCCAAGTGCCCACGTTGCGCCTCCGTAAGGCGACACGCGAAACATACGGAGCTGCTAACCTTGATGATGCTGTTGCCGCTGGGGATTATTAAATATCTTAGAGCACTTTGTAACGAACGGGTCTCCAAAACAGCGACTCGTCGCGAAGTTCATGTGTTACGATGCCTGGCACGACTTTACGCTTCTGCCAATTAATTTTACTTGCGTTAGGGATATTCCTTACGCCACGTGGCGTTGATATGGTGTTCTTTTCCGAAG